AATGGTAATGTATCTTTCAGAATTTGTTAAATGATCCTTCCGTTATAAGGCTTAATAAACTTACATGAAAATAATATGCCATCAAAAACATAACTTGTAAAAAAAACAGTCTCGCAACTCAGTTCTTCTACAGTAAAAAGTTGTGAGATTCATGTAATACCAAGTCGGTTAATTAATTCAGTCCCTACTTAAGGGTGCTTCAGTTTTAAGTTATTAGGTAATTAGCTAACCTAACAACATTTTATAGTGACCATATCAATGTTAAAAACCTTTTATGATTTAAATATATAGATTGAATTGGCGCATGAAAACACAATGTATCTCACAAGTAATACAAATTATATTAAATTTGATTGCTTAGTGCGATTACTGATTATTATTACGCATAGCAAAAAATCACTATTTTATATCAAAATTATTAAAATATAATTATTTATACGTGGTAGAGTCGTGCTGCAGTTATATTATTAGTATAGTTGTAACACGAATGGGTCGGCTCGACCGGGGAAGAACCACGCTCTTACAAAATACCAGCGTAAAATAGTAGCTTAATGTTGCTTTGTTTCGTATGGTAAGTTTAGAGAACCGGAGACCCTTTTTACTGGAAACGAGGCATTCCATGTTAGTCCTCACGGGGACAACGCATCCTGCATTTTAATTGGTAATTGAGGATAAATGTAGATGTCTATGGGCCGCAGCAACCACCTACAATCAGGTTATTGTGTGCTCGTTTGTCACCCTATCCTATAAAAAATAAAAATGATTTTTTTTAATTTATTTGAAACAGTAAGGGACTGTTAACTCTCTGTCAAAGTATCTGCAACTTTTAATACGAAGATATAAAACGCAGAGAAGTCAAATTTTGCATTCATCCATTCTTATAAGATAAACTCAAAAAATTTTTTCAACTACTTGCGCATGGACGAGGATACATTAAATTATTTCACAAGTCAATTTCGAGTCTCAATCTCAACGGGTCCCTTGTAAGAGAGCGAGGGGCTTGTTGTAACAGGGGTAAGTAGTAACAGGCTCTTTTCACTAGGATCAACGTATTTCTTTGACTCGATATGACCTATAAATAGCGCCGCATCATATTGCCATAGCTCCTCGGAGCAATCGAGACACTAGACGATCTAGGATCAGATCACCGACCGGTCTCCCTCATTCTTGGCCATCAGCCACCTCCCCCAACACACACGAAAACCTTCACTAACTGGAAGGGATTCAAGGAGTCCCTAGCTAAAGCTTTGGTCTCACAGGACTCTACCATCTCCCCTACCGTCGGACTTAGATAGTCCCGAAAAAATCGACACCGCGGTCGACTCACTCTCCACCCTTATTAAATCCTCCCTTAAGGAGAACGAAAGGGTCGTCCCGGTTGCTAACAATAGTGGGCTTCCCCTACATATTACCTAATAAATAGCCTATACCTAATAAAAGCCAAAAAAGCTGCTTTCCGGAGAGCAGCAAAATATCCCACCCCCGAATATAGGCGCGCGGCCAATCGTCTTCAACGAGAACTCCGCTTCCGCCTCTCTGTATTTCGAGACCTCGAAAAGAGTAAGCTCATGGAGAATATCTCTCCATCTCACACAGCGTACTATCAGATGGCTAGAGCCCTCCGCATAGACGCTATCACCCACACTCCCCCTCTCTCCCGTCCCGACGGCACGGTTGCTTTCGAGGACGAGGAAAAGGCTGAGTGCTTTGCAGATAGCATTGCCGCTCAATGCTCTCCCAGTTCTCAACCCGTCGACCCCTCACACGTCCAGGCAGTGGAGGATGAGGTCCGCCGCCGGAGCTCACCCCCCACGGCCTCCGAACCTATCTCTGTGCCCAATGATGAGATCTCATCCCTCATCAAAGGACTTAAGCCTAAAAAAGGCTCCGGGCGCGGATGGCATCTCCAACCAAGCCCTAAAACACTTTCCCGAGCAGGTGTTAACCCTTTTATCTATTATCTTCAACGCCTGCTTCAACCTGAGTTATTTTCCCACTACGTGGAAAGAGGCTACTGTGATTGAAATTCCCAAGCCAGGCAAGCTTCTCAACCTCCCCTCCAGCCATCGCCCCATTAGCCTCCTCAAGGCAATGGGCAAGCTCTTCGAAAGAGTCATCCAAATCCGTATGAGGCGCTATCTGTTTCCCACAGACGGCGACCCTCTTATTATTCCCCATCAATTCGGCTTCCGAGCCAAACACTCATGTCCCCAACAAGTTCACCGCATTGTGGAATATATCCTCAGCGGTTTCTATCCTCGTCGTCATAAGACCATCGCGGTCTTTTTCGATATAGCCAAAGCTTTCGATAGAGTCTGGCACACAGGCCTTATCTACAAGCTCTATAAAATAGGTCTCCCCGATCGTCTAGTTCGTCTCGTGGCCTCCTATTTAAAACATCGTACCTTTCGTTTCAGACACGAAGGCACGCTCTCTTCACAGCGAACTATCAAGGCTGGTGTCCCTCAGGGCTCAGTACTTGCTCCCCTGCTGTACATCCTGTTCACCAACGACATTCCCATCCCGTCGAAAGGTGTTCAACTCTCCCTCTTTGCAGATGACACTGCCATCTACTGCAAAGGTGTCTCACTACCCCTTATGCGGAACAAGATCCAAAAGTCAGTTGATGACCTAGGAGCTTGGTTCAAAAAATGGCGCATCGATGTGAACCCGGAGAAGAGCTCCGCCGTCCACTTCGATTATAAACGACGCCGTCTCAAAAACACTCCACCAATACGTATGCTAGGGACCCCTGTCCCCTGACACAGGGCTCACTTTCAAGCCCCACGTCAAAAGAGTAACCCGTCACGCACGATTTTATCTGAGTAGGCTCAACAGTATGTTGGGCCGACACAGTAAAATGTCCCTTCGAAACAAGCGTACACTCTACAAGGTATGTATACGACCAGTCATGTCCTACGCGGGCCCCGTCTTTGCCCACGCAAACCCTAACATTTTAAATGAACTCCAAATAGTTCAGAACCTATTCTGTCGTCGAGCTGCGAACGCACCGTGGTACGTTCGTAATGCCGACCTTCATCGGGACTTAGAGCTCCCAACAATTCAACAATTTCTTAAAAAACTCTCTGAGAACTTCTTCAAAGCCTCAGAGTCGCACCCAAACCATTTAATTCGTGAGGCAGCTTCTTATGCAGCCCCACCCCCCTCTCGCTATCGTGTCCGCAGGCCGAGAAACTCTCTCTCGGACCCGCCTAATAAACTTTCAAACGACCTGAACTGTCTCCTGGCGGCTCAGGCCAACTCTAATTAAATAAAATTATTGTAATATCTGACATTAATTTGCCTTCGTAGGCACTCCCTCAGCGGCACTTAGCCGCCTGCGCCCTCTTTTCCCAAAAGAGGGTCGCTCATGATAAGGCACAATAGAGCTTAATCAGCCGGTTGCCTGTCCCTAAAGGCGGTTTTTAGGGGGTATCACTTAGGGTCCCCGGTAGGACAGTGAGTCCCCCATAACCACGATAGACCGGCTATCGTGGTATGCGTAATGCATTTTCCGCCTCCCTACGTACAGGGTAGCCCTTTAATTGCTTCGGGCGCAAAAAAAAAAAAAAATTGCCATAGCCAGTGTCTCGCCGGCCGGCGCTGCATAGATTACTGTGTATACGGCGCAGTGAGCGGAAGTGTGCACGCGCTTCATTTGTCATTGTCGTAAAATTTCGGTTTGCGTTTTTAATATCGACTAATTTCAAATTTTCTATATCTTATTTCCATTCAAATTTATCTATCTCTAATAATGTGTAACAGTTTTTATGATTGCTAAATTGTTTAAATAGTTATCTTGATAAATGTTAAAAATCCATACCATAGGGTTAGTTGTAACAAAATCCCGGGGCTTGTTGTAACGTTTTACAACATGCCCCAAGTTATGATGTAGATACCTACTTTTTTCCTTTGTTTCAGAATGAGGGTGTATAAAGAAAGTCAGAGCGGGCAACACACAGCCAGGAAGTGTACGAGTTAGCAGCAGCTGAAGTTTTAGAAAAAAAAATGCAGTATTCGGAAAGCGAGTCAGACTTTCGGATTATGTCACGTCTCTCTTTATAGCTACATAAAGAAAAAGAAGAATAATGAAATATTAAGAGTTGGTTATGTTAAGCCTAGACAAGTATGCTAGTGCTCCGATATATATTTTGGACTACTTCCTATAGAAGTAAGGAAACTAGCTTACCAATGCGGTGTGCAGCTTAGTGCTAAAAACATTCCTCAACTCCAAACAGTACTGATGGTTCCAAAATTTTATGCGCAGAAATTCACATTTATCTCTAAGGACACCATAAGCCACGTATTTAAGTCGAGCGACGTCTTTCAATAAGGCTAACGTTAGTTCATTCTTTGAAATATATCAACAACTTCTCCAAAAATATCAGTTTAATGTTTCTCGAATATGGAACATTGATGAAGCAGGGGTCACAACGGTTCAAAAACCTAAGAAAATAGTAGCTGCTTGTGGCTAAAAGCAAACTGGAGCTATCACATCGGCTGAGAGGGAAAACTCTTCTAATACTTGATTGTGCCTCTAACGCTACGGGTAATTTTATCCCACCGATGTTCGTTTTTCCCAGGCTTAAATATTCTGAAATGTTTATTCGTGGTGGACCTCCAGATTGCATTTGTGCTGGTAATTGCTCCGGATGGATGACCGAAAAAGAATTTTTAATTTGTATGGATCATTTTATCAAACACGCAAAACCCACAAAGGATGAGCCAGTTCTGTTGCTACTTGATAAACATAGCTCACACGTGAATATTGGAGTGGTTAAAAAGCCAAAGAAAATAATATCATCATGTTATCGTTTCCTTCGCACTGCTCCCACAATTTGCAACCTTTAGACGTAGGAGTGTACGGCCCTTTTAAAAATTACACAAATAGGACACAGACACCATGGATGCACAACAATCCGGGGAAAACGATGACAACATATGACATCCCAGGTATTGTGAAAGAGTCGTTAACGCTTGCCCTTAACCCTGCTAATATTATGAGTGGGTTTAAAGCTTCTGGTGTATGGCCTTTGAATGCTGATATTTTCCAAGACTCCGACTTTGCGCCATCTTATGTTACTGATCTTCCAGATCCTACACTAGAGCCAGATGACGTAAATGTCACAGATAATATATCTTTGAATCTTGAAAATCCAGAACTATTAGATTCTGTCCCTGAAGTAGATATAAGCACCACGGAAATTATAAGCCAAATCGAAACTGCAAACGAGCCAACTCCGAGTTGCTCCGGTCTACAAAAAACTTTCTCGCCATCGAAGATTAGACCTTTACCAAAGGCGCCACCAAGAAAAACCAATACAAATAGCAGACGCAAAAGAAAATCTACAGTATTGACGGACACTCCTGAAAAGGAAGCTTTACAAAAGGAATATGAGGAAAAGATGAAGAAAAAACAGAAAAAAGATGACAAAATTAAAGGAAAAGTGAAAGGAAAGGGGAAGGGGAAGGGAAAAGCCAAAGGTAAATCAACAAATAATAATAATAAATTTTATTATTAAAAAAAAATAATAAAAACGGAGGGGGCAGAGCTGAAAAAAGATTTTATGTTCAGATTCAGAATCTAAATCAGAATAGTGGTATTGTCTGATATGTGGTGAAGCTTACACAGATACAAACAAAGAAGATTGGATTGAGTGTATCATTTGTAAGATGTGGGCACATGTTGGATGTGTTACAGTAGACATTATATCTTTTATTTGTATTAATTGTAGCTCAGATGAAGACTGAATTTAATTATAATGAAACCCACCAAATGTTGATTCTTACATAAGTATAATACTTTGTTAGATAGCTATTAAGAAGAGATAATTACGAAGCATACCTTAGATATAAATAATTTAATTACTTACTGTGATTTCAAAGTGCCATGACGATTATAAGTAGTGTTTAACTAAATGAAACTGTTAATTACTTAATATTTAAGTGTTGATTACTACAAAAGTGTATTTGAGTTGATTTTTGATAATTACATTATATTTACTTTAGGAAGATGTTAATTTTGTTAAAAATAAACAAAGAAAAAATGATTAGAGGTATTATTGTCGTTTTTTTTGTCGTTACTACTTGCCCCAGTAGACGTTACAAATTGCCACAAGCACGAGGTAAGTTGTAACACCGCACTTCTTCTAGAAAATAATCGATTGTAAAATAATGACTAATAGTTATGGTATTATTTTTAATTGATTTGGTAGAGGAAGAGTAACAGTATCCATCCACCTTTATTTAGTAGAAATTTAATCAATAGATCTCAAGATATATTAGTTTTAATGAAAACTGTTACAACAAGCCCCTCGCTCCCCTACCTCAGCCCGCGCACATGCACACTCGCACATGGCTACTATACGTACACAATACACACAAGCAATTGCAATTTTTACAGAATTCGAATCGGAGGTAATTGATGGACGTTATACTCTTTATAGACGCGATCGGTCTATTAACAAACTTAAACAGAAAGGTAGTGGTGGCGGTGTTTTGTTAGCAGTCTCAAACAAATATAAATCCTAGGTTATCTAACTTAGAAAGTTCATTTGAAGATTTGTGGGTTAAGCTATACTTACAATCTAGCAGGAATTGAAAAATTATGTTTGTGTGCATTGTGTCTCCCTCCTCTAATAAAATACAATGTATTGCATCATTTTGTGGAGAATACTAACAGAGTTCTAGAAAGTCTCGATAAGTGTGCTATTTTCGGTGATTTTAACCTTAATTCCATCAACTGGATTGATGAGACTGGTAATTTAATTACAACACCTCAGTTCATGGGCTTTAGAATTGAACAGCTACTTAAGAAATTTATTGAATTTAAAGGTTTAAAACAGTATAATCATCTAGTCAATTCAAACAACCGCGTCTTGGGCCTAGTGCTATCTAATTTAGACAAGATTAAGGTGTGGTTAGAAGACGTACTGTCTATGATCGACCTGCATCATCCAAATATGCTATGTAACATTCCGATTAAATTTGCTATTAGTGTTAAATACTGCGCACCTAAGACTAAATTGATTTTATAAGGCTGATTACGAGGCTATTAGCAAGGATCTTGATAATGTGGATTGGCGTAGTGATTTTAATCCTTAAGAGTGCTTAGATAAATCTCCTTGGTAAATTCTATACCATCATTCGTATCTCCATTAAAAACATGTTTCGTATATTATATCTATAACAAGAAGTCGCGCTACCCCTAATGGCTTTCTCGGTCACTAATCAAAAGTTTAAAGGAAAAATACGGCACAAAAATACGTTTAAAAAAATACAGGAACCCTATGGATGTATTCACATTGGACCTGTTAAAAGCTAGATGCGACAAAATGACTTTAGTTTCTTATGATACATACACAAAAAGAATATAATCAATAATTGCCGCTAACCCTAAGTACTTTTGAAGCCATATAAAAATTAAAAGGGGTGGAATTAGTAATTACCCAGAAAGTATGCCCTTAAATCTAACAGCTCTGAAAACTGAGATCTGTAATTTCTTTGCATCGCATATTTCGAGTGTTTATATTGGCTTAAGAGAAAATAACAACACTAATTTTAGTAATAACTGCATAAGCAACTGAATTTTAAGTAATATTGAAGTCTATCAGGATCAGGTTTCTAGGGCTCTGAAAAGATTGGATGTTACGAAAGGTGCAGGGAAGGACCTGATAATCTTGCCTCAAATCTTCATATTTAAACTGGCGGACAAACTATAACTTCTTCTATCGATTATTTATAATAGGTCTCTGCGTAGTCGCAATTTTCCTGTTACCTTTGATCCTGTTACATTTGAAACTATTATTTGTCCTCATCTATCATGGCATATCTCACAATTAATCGGGAACAGTCAGCATGGATTTCTAAAGAGTAAGTCCACTGCCACAAACTTATTTACATACGCGTACAGCCAGATAGAGGCTTTTAATAAAAGTTTTCAAATTGACGCCATTTACACCGATTTCAGCAAGGCCTTCGACACTGAATGGTTTACATATTAATCTTATCAAATTTAAATTCTATGGAATTTCGGGGCCCTAGCTGAATTGTTTAAAGTCTTACTTGTCAAACAGGAAGTTTAAAGTAATAATAAATGATCACAGCTCGATCCCTTATAGTGCTTTTTCGGGTATCCCATAGGGATCTCATCTAGGGCCGTATTTTTTATACTTTTCACTAATGACATTGACACATGCTTCCGGAATTCCAACATTTATGTGGTAGAGGCTGCAGTTATATTAGTAGTATAGTTGTAGCACGAATGGGTCGGCTCGACCGGGTAAGGACCACGCTCTCACAGAATACCAGCGTAAAATAGTAGCTAAATGCTGCTATGTTTCGTATGGTTAGTGTAGAGAACCGGAGACCCTTTTTACTGGAAAAGAGGCATTCTATCTTAGTCCTCACGGCTGAGAACGCATCTGCATTTTGATTCGGAAACAAGTAGAGATGTAGATGTCTATGGGCCATAGCAACCACTTACCATGAGGTGGACTGTACTCTCGCTTGTTACCCTGATTCTATAAAGAAATATTCTACTGTGCTAGATATTAAACACTACCTCTGTATCTAAAATTAAAAATACTGTGCTCGACATTGATATCGATAATGATAAATGAAATCTTTTTACTGTACTATTGTTAAATTGTTGATTTTGTTTCGTTTAATAATATACTATAAGTAACTTAATATTGTTACATGCTCTGTTTACCTGTAAATAGTGAGGCATTTACTTAGTATTATTACTGATGTATTTGATTGTATATAGTTTACTACCTGTTAGCCGGCCAAATAAAATAAATAAAAATATAACTAATAAATACGACGACTTCACAAGACCATTTTTACGTGTTGTAGAACTGAAGTCTGTGTTAGTACTGCCCAAAAACAAAGCGTAAGTAAGCAACGGCACCGACGCTGCGCAGTGGAAACACGAAGCTGGCAAAGGGAAATGCGCCCATTGTCCTGTGCAGGTCACATGACTTTAGTTCCTGGGCGACCAAGCTTTGCTAAGTGTTAGAAAACATAATCAGTTTCTCAGGTATGTCACTTACCCAGAAAAATTTAGAAAAAAATCTATCTTCCTTGCAAATTTTCATTGCATATAGAAAAAATCTATCTATATGGCGAAATTACCAATAATATTGTGCAGCAGTTCAAGTTTGTTACTGTGTGCGTGAAAACACAGAGAAAACGAATTTTCGGAAAAAAACTGAAATATGTTATCGTTAAATCGATTTTTCACCCTGTGACTTTCCCCTATTGTAAATTTCATCGAAAGAGAGTTTTTAAGAACGCGACTAAAAACAGATACGGGAATGGGATTTTTATATGGAAAACTTCCTTATTATTATATTTTTAAAGAATATTTACTACTTTTAACAAAAATTTAGGTTATTTTGAATGCATCGTTCAGAAGTCACGTTGCTTACGGGCGGATTTCGCGTCGTTCGCCATTCCGAAGAATCACTGTCAAGTACGTGTCTTATCGACAATACGTCATCAAGCGAAATAACAGCTTAGGATTTTACTTTTAGCACAAAGTACCTCGTGCCTCTTTCTTGACATACATATTATTAGGTGTTTCAATACAACGTGAACACTAAACGTTTCAATTACTTGACAGCCGTATTTATGCGTGCGTAAAGGTTAAAATTTTATTGGTTTATAAGAAAAAAAAATGATGAGAGAATGTATTACAGTCTGCGAATGTTGTGCTATAAATTATGCAACTAGGTCAAAATATAATGCTCTTGAATACGTAATAGTAGACACAGAATTTATCAATATCACAAATCACAATATTACACAAATATTATCAAGATATAACTATAGTTATTGCACATCTTACACAACTTACGATGTCGTAAAATAGACGTTAACTTTACTTAGGTTGAACTCTTTTTTACTTTTACCTATTTTAACCGACAAGTTCACTTACTAGTTGGTAGGTAGCAAGGTAGACATATGTCAATCATGAATGATTCGTTCGTTTGAGGTGGTACACTTAAAAGTATTGATGGTTCATTCATCTGATTTTGAATTTTCCAGTACAACCAATCACGAACAATTGACGGAACCTTTTTAACTCGTGATTGGTGTGAATTGTAAATGAGTCGAAAACCAACCGTATCCCGAATGATTTGAATAAATTGTTTTTAGTGTAGAGTACTGGAGCCCGAAATAATCCATTTGAATAATCGATGAGAATGTACTGGAATGATTCGGTCACGAGAAATGAATGATTGACACATGTCTATAGCAGAACTATAATACTAGTTCTGCTACCACCAATATTAGTAATTACAGCCTTTTAGGCATTCCATCTCAATCTTCAGTGGTAACAACGCGTTTGTAGACTTTTTGGTTTGGCGTTTGTTGCAGGTATCTCTGGGATATAGAAACCAGTTACCGTCAAAATTGGACTGTTAACTTTAATTTAAAAAAAGATACATATACTTATAGAGTGTCGCGTACACATATCGTGGATTAAAATAATAATAAATTATATCAGATACCTTTAACAGGCGCGCACTGAGGCACAACCGCCATAATACATCTATGGCCGCCTAAAAGGTGGATGCCCTAAGCTTTATAAATGTAAAAATAATAATAAGTTCACGTATTACGGCAAGTTCATCGATGGTGCACACTGCAACAACTAATAAACACGACCTACGCGCTATGCCGATGCCGATCTCAAGATCATTATGGCCTAAATATTACGTGGGCGTGTTTTGACAAAGAATTGTGAAAATTTTAATAACGTTTACGAATCGAAACTTTGCGTTGAAGAACTTATACTAAATGAACAGTTATATCTAATAGCGAGACAATAAATGCAATTCATTAGGGCGGTAATAAAACTCGAGTAGATGGCCGTCGGCAATTCACCTAAATACCACGACGACAACGTGCTGCTTGCTTTCATCGCTTCACTAATTAAGTTGCGATTGATTGGGATGAGCGCGTCTGCCGTTATATTTTATATGTGATTTATATCACTGTCTCATGAATTCGATAGGCAGCTTTATGCCCAAGCTATAGAAACTCTAGCACAAGAAATAGATAACGTGTCAGAAAAATAAATGCCATATTAATTGCTTAATGTCGTGTTTTATTACTTAGTTATTAATTTGCTCATCTAAAGTGGAATTTTATACCAGTAACAAGTAACAGTTGCTGATGTTTTCGCTGGTATTCTGTGGAGGCGTTATGCTTCTCCAGTTAAGCCAATTCGTATTGCAGTAATAATACAGGTGCAGCGCGGCTATTTATTTACTTTTATTTATTTATACTTTATTGCACCTTAATGAAAACGATTACAAACGGACTTAATGTATTAGGGCATTCTCTCCCCCCGGGGGGGGGGGGGGGGGGGGGGGGGGTTGGGGGGGGTGGGGGGGGGTTTGATTAGTCAACCCGAACTATCATCAACATAAAAAACAAACATTTGACAGTCTCGTTGGTCTAATGGTTCTACGCGCGACTGTTGATCAGTATTAGGTCCTGAGTTTGAATTCTGGGGTCAGTTTTTGGGCCAGAATCAGTTCTTGAGTTTTTCTGTCAAGATATCTCATTAGTAGTCCGAAATCAGAACGTGGGTAGTGTTTTACCCCTGTGCTTCGGAAAGCACTACAGCCGTTGGTCCTGCACATGATCTCTCTTCGGTCGTGTCGGATATACACCAGCACTTGCGCACATACTTGTTCACTATAATCCTATTCTGCGCAGAACGCTACGCTAGACTGACCGCCGTGACCAAAATAAGATCTCGAGGACATCGTCAAACGGTGTTCATCGTAAAGTGTAGAGGACAGAGCCCTTATCTTGTTATGAGAATATTTAAACCAGAAAATCAATTCTTTTAGGTTTTTCATGCAGCAGCAGCTATTGTTATAGTATTATGTTTGCAGCACGAATGAATCAGCTCGACCGGAGAAGGACCACGCGCTCACAAAATATCAGTATAAAATAGCAGCTTGATTATGTTGTGTTTCCTACGGTGAGTGTGAACTTGAGAACCATTTACCGG